AAGCGCAGGTACTTTCGCTCTCTTTCTCATTCTCTCTCTTTCTCTTTCTCTTTTTGTCTCTTTATCTCTCTATCTCTCTTTTTCTCTCTTTCTCCCTTTTTCTCCTTCTTTCTCTCTCTCCTCCTCTTCTCTCTCTTTCATTCTCGCAAAAAGCATCCAAACACACAAAAACACACACAAACGCACACACAAACACATACCCTTAACACACACACTCAGCACACACACATACACAAACACACACTTTCACATGTCAAATCGTGTTGACAGCCTGGGAAAAAGTAAGATAGTCTGACTGTTAAAGGTTCTGACTGATATTAAGACAATAAAACAGAAAAAAGACAAAAGGTAGAAATCATTTTAATCAAAATGTCTTTTTTTTTCAGCCGTAAATCCTCTGCAAACCAGCGAAGATGAAGGCGTTCGACGACCAACGCCCCAGCATGATGGCCGTAAGTGGAGGGGCCACAACTCCACTCTTCTCAGACCTGATGTGCAGCAGACTGAAGATGCTCTGCTCCAGACCGGACCTCTATAACCCCACATCTCCGTTTAGCGTTCACCATCTCCCACCACCACCACCACCACCACCCAGCAAAACAATTGAGGATGGGACAGAATGCGTCGTTGGTAGCGCTGGTCCAACCTCTATACACCCTCTCCGACAGCCTGATTTTTCTGGCGGCTGTCTTGATTTAGATACTAGAACCTTTAGTGGAGCAGACTTTACCACCTTCACCGCTCCTCGGCGAAATGCTAACGTCAATCACATTAACTTCTTACCTATGTGGGATTCAACAGACGTGTCAGATACTCTCAGACAAAGGCTTAACAGTCTCCAGAGCATGTCGACGTTTTCGTATCTAGGTCACCAGGGCGCCAAATCAGACGCTGCTATATTTAGTGATTGTCCTCGAGTCGTGGCGTCATATCCGGATCCGCTGGCGGTGAGGTGTAAGCTGGGACGTCAGGACATCGATCTAGCCCCGGTCTCGCCAAAGCTGCAACACTGGGATGTGGCTGGGAAAGCTGGCGAGTATAACAAAGGTAGTATCGTCACCCGACGGAAATAACCGAAGGTTACTCATAATTACATCGTATTTTTTAAAGGATTCATGTGGGTGATTGGCGGGTGCTCTGGTGCGGTTAGCTTCTTCTTTCCTATCAAACATCTATCGTCCTTATCTCCTCTTTTTCTTTTTTAAGTTTGTTACTCTCTTGTAACACCTCTAACCTTCTGGCTCTCATATACCCTTTGCAGTTGAGAGCGCCGTAAAACTTTAACTAAAACGAAAAAAAACAGGATTCATTTTTTCGCATATAGGTGTATTGACACCCACATCGATAGAATTAAGATCATTTAGGAAGCAGGCTTCGACCTTCTCTGTCAGGGCCAACCCGGGCTGAGAGAGATACAAAATCACAGTATGAAAACCGAGATAATCGAGAACACCTCGAACTTGGGTCTTCTGTATGCGACAGCGAAGCGCCTAACCATTGTACCACAGACGTTGGTGTCACATCCCTTCTCGTGCGTGAGAGAGTGAAGGGGGGGGGCACTACCATCAGTCCCCTTCTTTGCTGCTTTTTTCCCCTTCTGCTTCTGGTTATGTAACACATACATGTTCTTATTAGTTAAACAAAACAACAACCCCGCCCCAAGAAAAAAAACCTGCAAACTAAAACATCCACCCCCCCAAAAAAAAACAAAAAAAACACAAAAAAACAACAAAACTCAAAAGAAACAAAGCAATCGGGAGAAAAAAAACCCAACAAAAATATTAAAAACAAACCAACAGCAAAAGAAACAAACAAAACACACAAAAAAACCCAACAAAACAAAACATACTGTTGTATGAAGTGTAAATGGTAGGCCCTTATTGCCACAGTACGCAAGAGACTTGAGTTCAATTTCCGTTCAGGAAACACCATTTATTCATCCTGTTTCTATGTCAGTGTATTATAAGGAGGTATCCTGCTTAAATCAGCTTGGTCTCGGAAGGCAGGTGTGAAGCAGCCAGACACCTAAAATATCAATTTTGTGTTGACTTGAAGGCAAAAGTATCACATTTCGTTGATAACAAAAATGTAGCTTTTGCAGCTTTCATACACCCTGATTGATTAATATACGTATCAATTTATGAGAGCTCACCTAACGCTGCTTCTTAAAACAGTACATTGCCCTGCCAGAAAAAAATGAGCAGAAGAAAGAAGCACGAATAAATAAGTGAAACAGGCCGAAGAGAAGAAGAAGGAAATTCTAAAAAAGACGTGAAGAAGGATGAATAGAATAAAGAGCAAAAGGCTACTACAATGTGAAACGTGGCCAAAGAAAAAGACTGGATAAAAGGCAAAAGAAAAAGAAAGAAAGACAGGTTTTAAAAAATAATGGGGAAAAAAAACAACGGGGGAAAAATCCCTTCTGCACGTCGCCCCCGCTTATTATAAGCTTCCCTCACCGGACAAGACAAACTCGCGAAATCCCCTCCGTGCATTAATCACCAATCATCGATCCACAGAGTCGAAGCCGGGCCCCTACACTGACGTCATCGGGTTTCCGGGTGCAAGGGCTGACGGGACGAGGCAGGTGCTACTGGGGAAAATTGACGGGAAGAAGAAACGTCGTCACAGGTGAGATAGACGGGAAAGGTCTACACCAGTATCCTCCGATAAAACACTTTTTTTGAGTTTGTCTGGAAATGCTGTATTTTTATTTTACAAGACAACCTTCTCCTTCAGAAAAAAACAAAACAAAACGAAAAAACAAACAAACAAAAAAACAAACCAGCCACTAGATCTAAGAAGGATCTTTAGGAACACAACTTTTATCTAAATCTTAAAGTGAATCTTGCATAAGTTTAAATAAAATGTTTGCTTTCAAACCTTCTGAAATATGTTTTCATTTAAAATGTTACGTTTAAAGTAATCATTTTTTAACAAAAATTTGAAATGTGATCTGATTAACAGTATGCTGCGGTGAACGAACTCTGATATAACATATGGAGTAAGATAAGCTGAGATTTTATGATATGTATGCATTGACCTTTATGCTTTTTTATATCGGCACGATGGTGCAGATCAGGCAGGTCTAACCTGTCAATCAAGCTTATACAACGGTTAATGCTCAATCTAAAATCCTGAGCATCTTTCTATGATCATACAATCAAAATTTTGACTCTCTAGAGTTAAAAGAGTCTGCCTGCAACTGAGGGTAACAGACAAAGAAAAACCTATTCTGCATATTTCAAAATGGTACTCCTCAAATATATATATATATATATATATATATATATATATTTAAAATATATTTTTTTCTCAATAGATAACTTCAAATATTTTTTCAGCTAAATCTCGTATTGAGTCAGAGCTTGTGAAGCATTTCCCTGATACCACATAATTGTTATTTTAGATATCAGAGTCCGCGTAAACCAAACTCTTCGGGAGCTCCGGATTTTCTTTGGTTTACCCGGTTTTCGGTTTAGGGAGGTTACTCAAATAGAAGAAAAAAAATGGGGATTTTATTTTATTTCGGTTTTCCGCTAATTTCGGTTTAAGCATGTTCTTTTTCAGCGGACGCCACTATAATTGTTAAGATTATCCCGACCTCACACCTCCTTTTGCTCCGGTTTGATGAACTCTCATTTTGTCCAATTAAAACGAGAAGGGGATGCTTACATTGTATGGATAACAATTATTCTTCCACACTCATGTTTTCTCTTTCTACATTCCATGACCTGCGCGCTAAAATATACGTACAAGTGTGAAAACAAGTCTGATCTCAAATTTCGAACGAACTTTTGCGTAAACTTACATAGAAAAAAAAAGTTGTTGAAAGCTCTTGAGGAAAAGGATGCGTGTGTAGTTTGTAGTGTAGTACCGCTACGGAGATTTAATCCCTTTGAAATTTGATATCTAGCATTTACGTTCGGTTACACGCCGTATAAGAAAGCATTGATGAGATGAAGCACAGTCTGAATCTTTAAGACGGCCACCCATTGCCGAGGAGAAAAGTGGTAGTCTTAGATAGTTGGCCATTTTACACAATATCCTTATAATGTTTAAAACAAAATAAATGGAGCAGAGAAATTGGAAGTGGCCTTTGCACAGGTGATTATCTTATACAGGTGGCCTTTAGAGCAGGTTCGACTGTTTTAACACGCAGTTATCACTGGAGAAATACGATGTGTTTGTAAGTCTCTTTGGCTCACGAATAAAAAGCCATCATTCGATTTACTTTGAAGAAAAGATTGTTTTGCCACTGCTGTCAGTGTATATTGTGTGATGGATCCCTTAAACGATCTTCCTTGAGTGGAAGCATCGAAAAAAAAATCCTCACCAAAATAGTGGTTAGGCTACCGGACTCGTAATCGTGAGGTTGCGGGTTTGGGGGCCCGAATTTGCGCTATGCAAATGCTATGTATAATTATTATTAATATTATGATAAATTTATGATCTAAATTATTGTGTCGATGGAAATGTTTGATAGTCCTAACAATGTTTACATGATGTTTTGTGAACATCAAGCATGGACAAAGTATGGCCCGGGGGCCAAACTGGCCATAGAGAAGTTTTAGTCCAGCCTGTTGGTCGACCCTGTAAGTAATAATAACAATAAATGTGGCCTGCGGTAAGTTGATAATACGACAAAATTGATAGTTTCCGGCACAGCTGTAGGCAAAAGATCTAAAATATTTGATCTCCTGAATAATTTTTTTTAGTTATATGCGATAGTGTCGATTTTTGTCTCACTATTAAGAACGTGGGTATTTAAACTGATTTCACCCAATTTTCCTCAGCTTTGGCCTGCGAGATCTTTGGTATCGCTTAAACCGGCTCACGAATTGGTCATGCTTGCTCACGCCTGGTGTACTTTTTAGTATTCATTCGTACACTTTACCCTGCTCTCACTTCACACCTGCCCCTCTTTCCACCCGTTTCCACCCCCTTCATTTGAATTGACGTAATCAGATACAGCATCTCATCACTTCTTCATCACGTCATCACACAGCCCCACTCGTTCCCGACACCAAACGGCTTGCGCGCTTCATTTATATTGGATGCTTTGCAGAATCTGTTATATGTCTGCCCACAAATACGGATCTTTATATGTTATTTCATATACATTGTACGTAATACCATTCTGTTACGTTATGATATATTACAGCATTATATACGAGTGCATATTATATTATATTCATGTATATACCGGGTGCCTTATAAACGGCCAATTCAAAGGGCAAAAACTCAGTCATTTTTGGACCAGTTGCAAGAAAACTTAAAAGCATTAAATTCAAAGTAGGGGGCGTTAAATAATTATATTGATATGAAGAACATCAAACGTATTCGAGAAATATCAATTTTTTAAATTTTCAATCAAAATCGAATGAAACCTACACATATATTAGAGAGAGAGAGAGAGAGAGAGAGAGAGAGAGAGAGAGAGAGAGAGAGAGAGAGAGAGAG